TTCCGACATATCTCTTTGTCGATCGAGATCATTCAGTGTACGTATCAGACAACGAGAATCATCGTGTAATGAAATGGAATAAAGGTGCAACAGAAGGTATTGTGGTCGCTGGAGGACTAGGCCGATGGAGTGCTCTGACACACTTGTACTATCCCAATGGAATCTTCGTTGATACGTTGGGTACACTCTATGTAGTAGACTCGTTGAATAATCGCGTAATGCGTTGTACTCAAGGAGGCAAGAAGCAAGCCACTATAATTGTGGGTGGAAATGGCGAAGGAGGAGGAGTAAATCAGTTCAACGTCCCCCGTGGTTTGTCTTTCGATCGACATGGTAATCTCTATGTCGCCGATACGGGTAATAATCGTGTTCAACGATTTTCTATCGAATAAGACTTGTGAACTGTTTTTTCTTTGTTCTTTTCTTTTTCTATACTTTGAAATGGAAGAACAAAAAAAAGAAATTTTCTTTTACTCTTTCGCTTCAAAGAAAAGAAAAAAGCTAGATTATAAAATTACGTCATACGTTTCTTTTCTTCTTCTTCTTCTTTTATTTATTTGTTAAATGAAAAGAAATGAATCAAATAAAAATTATTTTTCGCAAAAAATATTAATTATTTAAGTGAAAAAATAAATTGTGTTTTTGAAAATATTTATGATTTAAATGAAAAAATAAAATTTGTATTATTTAAATGAAAATAACATTTTGAGTTATTTTCATAAAAATATTTATTAGTAAAATAAAATAATTTAGTAGTAAATTGAAAAATATTTCGTACTAAAATAAAATATTTTAGTAGTAAAATTAAAATTATTGAGTAGTAAATTGAAAATAATTTATTAGTAAATTGAATTTATTTAGTAGGAAAATTAAATTATTTAGTAGTGAAATAAAAATAGCTTAGTAGTAAAAGAAAATAATTTATAAGTAAAGTGAAAAAAAAATATTTGTATTATTTTTACAAGGTTTATGATTTCAATGAAAATAAAATTTTGTATTATTTAAATGAAAATTCGTATGCTTTTGAAAATATTTATTGATAAAATAAAATAATTTATGAGTAACGTGAAAGGAAAATTTTTTTTTTGTTTTCACAAAATATGTATTATTGAAGTGAAAATATTTATGATTGAAATGAAAATATTCATGATTGAAATGAAAAGAAAAAACTTGAGTTATTTAAATAATGTCTATTTTAAAAATCAAAAAAATAAAATTACAAAAATTTAAACAACAAGAATGTAAAAATATATATACTTACATTTGTGTTGGTTTTGATTGAATTGAATTGAATTGTTGAATGAAACTAAAACATAAAAATAAGATAATTAAATTAAAATTTAAAATTTTTAAATAAAAGAGAATTTATTTAAATTCTAAATGTTTTTTCTTTTTTCAATATTTAAGATCGTGCTGCATCATCAACCTATTGAAACAAATGAACATCGATTCTCATATGATGCATTATGAATAAAAATAACAATTAATTTTATTTGTTTGGAATAAGAAAAGTGAAAATAATTATATTTACTTTGCTTTTGAATAAATCGAGATGAGCTAAAGCGAAATAAGAAGAAATGAATTGATTGGAATGAGAATTTTTTTGCTTACCAGCTAATAGTTGCTCGCGCGACCAAGAACTACCTTGGTGGTGCCATAGAGAACCAAGGCTCTTCACGTAGAGGCATAGATCTAACGTGTATAGAACATACAACAGGAAGATCTATATGCGGCCTGTACGTGCTATGGGCACCAACGTAGGCTTGGCCAGTTTCACGCCGATGTATGGAAGGCCTCCGTAGGACGTATTAAATATACATAAGAATACTTACTTTTTTTGTATTACTAAAATAGAACATAGAAAAGTAAAATTAAAACTAAAATGAAAATAGAAAAACAATTATTATCATCATGCAAAAATTAAAATAATAATAAACAAATGGGGTAAAAAGCTGAAACAACGGAAAAAAAAATAAATAAAACTATAATACTTACCTGTGATATTGAACAATGATCAGTACGAATACAAGCTAGAATAGTTAAAAAATAAAAAATATAATATAATAATGTAAAAAGAAGAAGAAGAAGAAAGAGGGGGAATGATTTCTAACGTTAAAAATCATTACTATTTATAGTCATTTTTGTTGTTCGCAATAATTAGACAATTGGTAAGCAATCGAGACCAAATGAATTTCATTTCTATTTGTAAAATTCAACATCCCGCTCACTACATATAGTGATTTTTGATGGTTTTGATTGATTGCTATGCAATCAATCGTAAAGATCACAAGCATTCCTGAGAATGACAAAAAAAATTTTGTAACATTGACTATACCGCTAATTGATCTTTTATATTGTCGTGTTACATCGTATATGCACTTAACAATAATTATTATCACGAATGATTCTGGTCGTGGTATATTATTTCCATCACAAAATTACAATTACTTCTTTCGTATTGTTCAAGTTTGACTTTTGAATAATTTCACTAAGAAATTATTAAAAATATATTGATTTATTTTACATCCATACAAAGTTGCTCATTAAATTATTCGCTTTGCATCAGAATTACTTGATCACTTTTCTAAAATTTTTCGTAGCTACTCTTAGTTTATCATTAAAAACGATGATAAATGGTTCGATCAGTATTGTCATATTTATCTTATTATCCAACCAATAAAAGCGGATTAATCAGTTTCTATATTTTTAAAAAAGAAACAGTAATGAACAAGTAATGAAAAAGATGAAATAATTCAGGATTAAAATCTGAAAGTTACATTTTGTTCAATCATCTTTTTTATTTTATTAAATAACAACAATTATTTGATCAACTTGAATTAAAGACGATAAATTGTAATACTTGCTCAGTCTACAAGAGAAATAATACTATTGAGACAATATTCGTAGTCTAAATAAAAAAGATGATAAAAATCTCATCTATTTTCGAAGGAATAATTCATTTTCTTATTTTTGAAAACCACTGTGACTTTTATTTCTTTTCGCATACATAGATGAATACATTTAGTATAATAGGAAACAATAACATCAAACAAACTATGACAATATATTTATTAATTTTGGAATCTCATTGTTTGCTAAACTTCTAATTAATTTTATTTCGTTTTCGAAGCTGATGGTACACTCATCTTGTGTTACGTCAATATTGTTTACTGATAAGATACTTTCTATTGTTTAAACATATGACATGAAATCCTTTAATAGAAAAAAAATAGATTAGAAGTTCCGACTGAATTGATTAGACTCAGATTGTAACGAGGTCGATGAATTCACTTTTGTGTTTATGAGAGTTCGTCAAGATCCTAATACTCTAGATTAGCAGTTTGATTCTTCTCGAAATCTGTACGATATATATGATTAGAATAATTTGATGTCCAATAAACTGAATGTGCACGAATAGAAAAAACTCAGATAATAAACGGAAAAGTCGTAAAAATCGATTCTAGATTTGAAGTAAATATTTTTATTAGACGAACTGTGTCATGGAACATATTTTACCTCCGATTATGAGCGCCGACTTTATAATATGAACTGAACATTATGAAGCAATGCTAAAAATGACCGGGCATCTTGTAGACTGATCCTTCAAACCTTATTCAAGGATCCTCAACAATAACTGATTTTCTGTAACAAAATATACTCCGTTTCATTCAAAAATGCATAAAAAAGCAGCAACTTGTGAAATAAATTTCATCTAGTGTAGATCAGTACTTGAGATTCTGTCTAATTTCATAACCTCGCATATTTCCACAGAGATTTTCAGAAAATTTCTTTCTTTTTCTCTTTAGAAGTGTCTGTGGGAGAACCTGTAGAAAGTTATATACTGATTTCTACCGCATAGTTTTTATTTTACTTTATGAAAGTTTTCTATTAATTTTCAAGTGAAGTCGAGTATATTTTCAGCGGAAAAGGTCGCCTGTGAGTATCTTACACTAAGTCACCCAAACATATTCTAGGAACTCTCATGTTAATTCTTGCAAAACTTTACTGTATTCATTATGTTCCTTAAAATCAAACCAATGAAACTCGTCTATTGATAAAGTATTTTGTGGAATCGGCCCGTAACAGTATAGTGTTTTCAAGCATTTAGAGCATTCAATTTTTGTCACAGAAAGGGCTCTATGAGATCCTACTACAATAAAATATGAGCTTTCTAGAGCGATTTCTTCATGGAATATCTATGTTCATATAGTACTGCAAACATGATCATTTTGCTGTGCATCTCTTAGTATTGATGAACTAAATTTTTACGATTATTATATCAAGTTAAGGCATGTAAGCACTGAGCAACTCAAGCAAAACGAATCTGTTTTCGTTGGAATATGTCTATAATAAAAGACCAAACAAATGTACTTTTTTTGTGGGTAGCGTTCTCAGCAATATTAACATACTTTGGGGACTGAACAGTATATTTTTAAACAGTTTACGTCAACATTCTTAAAACTCTTATTTTTAATACATATTTCACAATCAGAAAAGTGTGACAACTTTGATTGAAGACAAATTCAGTGATGTTGCATGAACGCTGATTGATAGAACGGAATAACTGAGCTTCTAATTGTGGTACCCCGTATTTTCTCCATCATCCCTTTTTATCCAAGACAAAAGACGGATTCGGGAATGCTCAA